CATAGTCTGTAGTTGAGGCAGTGGGACTCTGGCCTAAGTGATTTCCCTCTGAGAATCATGAGGGGGTCCAGGAACCAGCATCTGGGGATGTGGGAGTCTCAGTGTCTGTGTCCGAAGTTGTGTGATCTTGTCTGGGGAGGTGAGTCCTCAGTAACTGACCTAGATGTCCAGAAGCAGGCAGCTAGGAGAGGGAAGTCATGGATCCTGCTGAGGGGGCCATGTGCCCTTGGTTGGGGAGGCACATGCCTAGAGGCAGCTCACAGAGGGGCCCAGTAGTTGCCTGCTGGGGCAGTGTGTTCAAGGGGCTTACATGCTGGAGCTGTGTGACCATGGAGACTGGATGCTCATAGCCGGGAAGGTGCAAGATCCATCTTCTGCTACAGGAGCCCTGCACCCTTGGTCGGGTATGCTTGTGCCTTTCAGGGGTTCACAGAGGCACCTGGGAGCTGCCTACTGAGGTGGCAGTCTAAGGGGGGCACCAGTGCACTTGAGCGGTGCAACTGCAATGTCTGAAGTTGGCAGCCAGGGAGGGGCAAGTCCGAGTTTTTGTTACAGGGGCCATGCTCCCCTTGGATGTGCGTGCCCAGCAGCAGCTCCCAGAGACACCAGGAAGCTGCCTGTTGGGGCAGGGAGTCAGGGACTCCTGCACATGTGCTGGTTCCACAATACTGCAGTGTCTGGAGGTTGGCAGCTGGGGCAGGGGAAGTCCTACTTACTGCTGTGGGAGTCATGTGCTCCTGGAGGTGGGCATCCTAGGGCTTTCAAGCCTGTGGGCCAGGCAGCAGGACTTTGGCTGGTGTGGCTGCAGAGTCCCGGGCAGTGTCCAAGGGCAGTCTGGGTGATGGTGATGATGAGTTCCTAGAGGAAGCCACTCTCCCTTTCAAGATGGCGTGGGCTCCGTGCTCGAGCCCAGCAGCCCTGGTAGTGCCATGGTGGCAGGGGCTCTCTGTCCAGGAGAGCTGGTCTGACAGCCCCCTGATACTCCTGCAGGATCTAACTGTCCCTCACTCACACACACACCACACATGTCCACACACTCCCCTTTTACCCACTCACTCACTCACACCCTCTCCCTCACCTCTGTCCTGCCAGCTGCCATCTTTTTTCTCCTCTATATATCTTTTGATCTCACCTTTTATTTCTTCTGTGAACCAGTCATCCTCAATGATAGGTCACATTTTAGGATGCGAAATATGTCTTTATAAGTTCAAGAAGTTTAAAGTCATATCAAGCATCTTCTTGGATCACAATGGCATGAAACTAGAAGTCAGCAACAAGAAAAAAACCTCAAAAACATTAAAACACATGGAATTTAAATAACATCTTTTTAAACAATGAGTGGGTTACCATTGAGATTAAGGGAGAAACAAAAAAATCTGTACACAAATAAAAAATGAACACACACACACACACACACACACACACACACACACACACAAATCTATGGGACACAGTAAAAGCAGTCCTGATAGTAAAAATCATAGCATTACAGGCCTACTTCAAGAAACAAGGAAAAGCTCAAATAAGTGATCTAACCGTACAACTAAAAGAGTTATAAAGACAACACCAAAAACAGATCAGAGTAAGTAGAAGGAAGGAAATAATAAAAATCAGAGCAGAAATCAATGACACAGAGAGAAAAAATATAATACAAAACAACAACAATGAAACTAAGAACTGGCTCTTTGAAATGATAAACAAGATTGATGAACCTCTACCCCGACTCAGCAAAGAGAGAAAGCCCAAATAAATAAAATCAGAAATAAAAGAGGTGAAGTAACAACTGACACCCCTGAAATACAAAGGATTATAAGAAAATACTATCTGCAAACAAAATGGATAATCTGGGTGAAATGGGAAAATTCCTGGAAACATATAATCTTCCAAAACTGAATCAGAAAAAAATCAGAAAACCTGACTAGATCAATGGCAACTAATGAAATAGAAGCACTAATCAAAATTCCCAGCAAACAAAAGTCCTGGAGTGAATGACTTTATAGGAGAGTTTTACCAAACATTCAAAGAAAAATTAATAATTATTCTCCTCACTCTATTCCAAAAAAAAGTAAGAGGAAACAAGACTTCTAAGCTATTGTTATGTGGCCAGCATTCTTATAATTCCAAATCCAGAAAAGGACACTACAAAAAAAGAAATTACAGCCTGATATCCCTGATAACATAGCTGATAAAATCCTCAATAAAACATTAGCACACCAGATCCAACAATACATTGAAAAGAGCATACAGCATGACCAAGTGAGGTTTATTTCTGTAATTCAAGGCTGGTACAATATTCACAAATCAATAAATGTGCTCTAGCTGGCTTGGCTCAGTGGATAGAGTGTCAGCCTGTGGACTGGGGGGTCCCAGGTTCGATTCTGGCCAAGGGCACATGCCTGGGTTGTGGGCTCAATCTCCAGTGGGGAGTGTGCAGGAGGCAGCCGATCAATGATTCTTTCTCATCATTGATGTTTTTGTTTCTCTCTCCTTCTCCCTTCCTCTCTGAAATCAATAAAGAAATATATTTAAATTTTTTAAAAATAAAAAAATAAATGTGACACATCACATAAACAAATTGAAGAATAAATACCACAGGATCATATCAATAGATGTATAAAAAGCATTCAACAAAATCCAACACCCATCTTATCTAATAAAAGAGAAACATGGTAATTAGCCGTACGGCCGCTACCCTTCCCATTGGCTAATCAGTGAGATATGCAAATTAACTGCCAGCCAAGATGGCGGCCGGCAGCCAGGCAGCTTGAAGAGAACAGGGAGGCTTCCTTGCTTCAGTGACAGAGGAAGCCAAGCTTTCCCGCCTGCGCTGCCGGCCTCTGAGCTTGCAGTTTAAAACATTGTAACAAATATAGAAGCTAAACAAAACCCCAGAAACCAGCTTTAGTCAGCCAGGCTTCAGCCAGCAAGACCGCAACATTGTTTAGAATACAGAAGGTAAACAAAGGCCAAAAACCTGCTTTCAGCAGCCGAGCCTCAGAGAGAAAGCCGGCTCTCAGCTCCAGTGACAGCCATAGAAGGTAAATAAATGCCAGAATAAAAAGAAAAAAAAAGAAAAAAAGGAGAGGTTTGGAGCTTCAGTCGCCCGCCAGCCTGAAAACAGCCCTCAGCCCCTCACCCAGACTGGTCAGGCACCGCAGTGGGGACCCCCACCCTGAAGCAACAAGATGGTGGCTAATTTACATACTGAAGGCAGGGGGCAGCAGGCAAGGCTGTCTTCGGTCTGGGACCCGGATCTGTGACCCTGCCAGGCGGGGGGCAGTGCTTGAGGCTGTCCGCGGTCCCAGGACCTGGATCTGTGACCCTGCCGGGTGGAGGGCACCACAGGAGGCTGTCTGCAGTCCGGGACCCGGATCTGTGACCCTGCCGGGCGGGGGGCACTGCAGGAGGCTGTCTGCAGTCTGGGACTCAGATCTGTGACCCTGCCGGGCGGGGGGCAGTGCTTGAGGCTGTCCACGGGACCAAGACACGGATCTGTGACCCTGCCAGGCGGGGGGCAGCGCTTGAGGCTGTGCACGGTCCTGGGACTCGGATCCTTGACCCTTCATGGCGGGGAGGCAGCCATCAGCGCCCAGGAGTGACTGCGCAAGATCCGCCTCCTGGCCCAGAAGGTGCAGGATCGCAGGGACAGCCACTGTGGCGGGCCAGATTGATGTCCTCCTGGCCGCACCACGGGGGTTTGCGGATCTGCAAAGCCAGAGGACTCTGGTGTGCACATACCCCCCTGGGGTGCGAACATCCCCCAGCACACTGTCACCCTCCCGCGCCTGAAACAGTTGCAAACCAAGGCGTGCACAAGTTCCCCCCGCCTCTCCACCGCACTTCCATCAACCCGGCATGCCTAACACCCCCACAGGATGTGCACACATCCCCTCTGATGCGCTCACATCCTTTGGAGAGTGTCTGGGTGTTCTGGGTGCTGAGAGTGGGCGCCTGTGAGATGACAGTGAGAGGGCGGAGTGGTGATGCCCTGTTCCCATGGAAGCCAGTGCAGCTATGAGATCACCTCTGGGGAGTTAATGCAGGTGCTGAGGCAGGAGCAGGTGCAGACAGACACACCTGGTGGGCCTGGGTCGCCCTCTCTGAGGTGCCTTCGGTCAGCGTTCAAGATCAAGAGCCCAGAGGCAGAGAGGAATTCCGTCCTCTCAGTGAAACAGTGGGATAGTCGGGGTGACTGTAGAGGAGGAATGTGCACTTTGGGTGCCAGCACCCATGAGTGAAGGCTGCCCTGACTGAGCCTTGCTTGCTTGGGGCCTAGAGCACTCCTGCCGGACAAAGGGGGACAGGACGTGCTTTTCCGAATTAATGAGAGAAAATGTTGATTCTCCTGCTGCCCACGAAGGTGGAAAGTAAAGTGGGGAGAGGAGACATGTGGGAAATGAGCCGGGTTCCCTGTCTGGGGGTTCCAAATCTGCTGTTGGTTTCTTTCACCACTGACTAGAGATATACAGGGTGTCCCCCCAAAATGTATACACACTTTGAATACCTACTAATTCCAATGGTTTTAAGCATAAGAAAGGAACAACAATGGAGCTGTTATCTGTTAAAAGTGTGGGCACAAACAGATAGTTGGACATTCCCTGAGGGGTCTCAGATTGGAGAGGGTGAAGGCCAGACTGAGGGGCCCCTTCTCCCCGCCTACCCCAGTGCACGAATTTCGTGCACCGGGCTACTAGTTTTTTATAAAAACTCTCAGCAAAGTGGGAATAGAGGGAATATACCTCAACATAATAAGGGCCATATATGAAAAACCTATCACCAAAATCATACTCGAGTCAGTCAGTGGGACAGGCAATCGGTCCTAGTTGCTTTGGGCTCTCAAGCTTTCCTGAGCAGCGCCCTCTTCGCTCCTTCCCGCTCAACGGCGGTGGCTGCACTGGCGGTGGAGTGGCCCCTACGGGAGGTGCTGCGTGGGCAGAGAGAAGGCCACAGAGCATCAAGCCAAGCGCAGAGGAGGAGGCGGCGGTGGCCCGGCAACCAAAATGGCGGCGGTGGCAGCTGGCTCGGCCCGGAGATGGTCTGCGGGCAGGTGTTCGACGTGGGGCCGTGCTACACCAACCTCTTGTACATTGGTGAGGGCGCCTATGGCACGGTGTGCTCTGCTTATGATAATGTCAACAAAGTTCTAGTAGCTATCAAGAAAATCAGTCCTTTTGAGCACCAGACCTACTGCCAGAGAACCCTGAGGCAGATAAAAATCCTACCGCGCTTCAGACACGAGAACATCATTGGAATCAATGATATTATTCGAGCGCCAACCATCGAGCAAATGAAAGATGTATATATAGTACAGGACCTCATGGAAACAGATCTCTACAAGCTCTTGAAGACACAACACCTCAGCAATGACCATATCTGCTATTTTCTTTACCAGATCCTCAGAGGGTTAAAATATATCCATTCAGCTAACGTACTGCACTGTGACCTCAAACTTTCCAACCTGCTGCTCAACAACACCTGTGATCTCAAGAACTGTGATTTTGGCTTGACCCGCGTTGCAGATCCAGACCATGATCACACAGGATTCCTGACAGAGTATGTAGCCACACATTGGTACAGGGCTCCAGAAATTATGTTGAATTCCAAGGGCTATACCAAGTCCATTGATATTTGGTCTGTAGGCTGCATTCTGGCAGAGATGCTCTCCAACAGGTCCATCTCTCCAGGGAAGCATTACCTTGACCAGCTGAACCACATTCTGGGTATTCTTGGATCCCCATCACAGGAAGACCTGAACTGCATAATCAACCTAAAAGCTAGAAACTATTTGCTTTCTCTCCCACACAAAAATAAGGTGCCATGGAACAGGCTGTTCCCAAATGCCGATTCCAAAGCTCTGGATTTACTGGACAAAATGTTGACCTTCAACCCTCACAAGAGGATTGAAGTAGAACAGGCGCTAGCCCACCCGTATCTGGAGCAGTATTATGACCCAAGTGATGAGCCCATTGCTGGAGCACCATTCAAGTTTGACATGGAATTGGATGACTTGCCTAAGGAGAATCTCAAAGAACTAATTTTTGAAGAGACTGCTAAATTCCAGCCTGGATATAGATCTTAAATTTGTCAGAGCAGGAACTCGTGGAAACGCCTGGGATGACATTGCCGCCTGCAGCAAGTGCTCCTATCCCGGGAATCTTTGGGGGCCCTTGTCAGCATCTTTTCTCATATCATGTTAGTCACTAACATTTAAGGTATGTGCTATTTGCCCAGCTTTTAGAAAACTCAGTACATTTTTCTAAATAAAAGAATAATGTACTGCACTCAGCAATTTCACTCTGTAGATTTACTGTGGTTACTTGTACAATTTATAGAGGTATAACACTTGCCAAAATGTATTATATGCAGAACAGAGTGTTGGCAAGACTTATGAAAAAACCTTTAAAGTGGCAGCTTCACTCGATTTAGTGAGAGATGTACAAAGGTTACAGCAGGGTGCTGAGGAAAGTACCTGGAGAAGTAGCCAGTAGTCTGCCTGATGTCACGGGCAGCCCCAGGTATGCATACCCCAAGCTACTTCACGTGGTGTGCCACATTCGATGCCTGAGGATTTAGCAGAGGGTAAACACTGCGTCTTTAAATGAGAAAGTGTACAATTTTTTCCTCTTACAGCATGTCAGCATTTCAAGTTCATTTTCAGCCTACAATATAGCAGTTTGTTATAGAGCCTTCATGAGCTCACGACATGAAGTGCTGTTCTGTCTCAAGTACTAAGTACTCTCAACTGTTTCTGATAATGCCGAGCTAAGACCATCAGAAAAAGCTAGCACTAAGTCACGTTTGGAGCGCAATCCCATATTTTCCTGATCTCTTTAAGTATTTGTTCCTGCTACTGTACACTGTGGCACTGACCCGGTGTTCTAGCCCCGTGCAGTGCCTCCTCTTGACTCCCCCACTTCTCTCTGTGGTGAGATATTTGCCTTGTTCAATAATTACTGTACCCTCGCATGACTGTTACAGCTTTCTATGCAGAGATGACTGTCCAAGTGCCACATGCCTATGATTGAAATGAAAAATCTATTGTTACCTCTGAGTTGTGTTCCACGGAAAATGCTATTCAGCAGATCACTTAGGAATAATTCTATTTTTAGCTTTTCATTTCTCAGCTGTCCTTTATTTCTTGTTTGATTTTTGACAGCAGTGGAAAATGGGTTTTATGAAGATTGCCTGCTATTATGAAAAGAAATGCACTTGTAATTCATGGAAATAAATGTACATCTTCTATCTTCATATTCATGTTAAGATTCAGTGTTGATTTCCTCTGGATCAGCATGTCTGAAGGGACAGTCAGGTTCAGTTTGTGCTTAGAACAGAAATACTTCCAGGCCTCACCTTCCCACTGGGCACTGCCCAACACTTTGGTTTACATGAAATGACTTAGAAAGCATTTTTTTCCTATTTTTCCTACTTGCACAGCAGAGAAATAAATTCTGACCTGTTTCTTTATTCAAATCATAGGTCTAAAATATCTCAAAACTCTGATGAAGAAGCCCAAATGTCTCAGGCTGGATTCTCTGGTTCTTTCTAAAGAGGGCTTGCCTGTGTGCCCCAGTGCTGCTGCTAGGCACAGCTGAGTACTGGGAAGGGCTCCCTCGCGCCCCCCCCCCACCCGGCCCAGGGTCCTGAGGCTCATACCTCATGGGCTAAAGAAGGATGGCTGACTCATCCTCCGTCATTGGAACTACATTTAAATTCTTGCCCTAAAATACATGATCTTCAGCTCCATGCCCAGAGCTGCATGTCAAGGTCCACACAACATTAACAGGATATAGATCTGTTACTTGATAAATTGATAAGTCAGTTTTCATTTTAAAAGGAGCATTGACAGTTTTATTACTCTTGTTTCTGTGGACTCTTTAAGTGGAATGTTAGTAGTATTGTGAGGTTAATCTTCAGTCCTCTAAATGGAAAGCCATAGTCTTGGTTACTAATCCCTGGGAACTGGGCTCTTTCCATCTTTGCTGGTACCCTGGAGTCAGATTGGCATGAAACCACTAACTGCATTCTAGAATCATTGTAACCATATGTTGTGTGCTTTTAATCAATCATGCCAACTTGGTTTAATAGTTCAGAGAATTATCATAACCAAGGTACCTGTGAAAAGTACTAGCTGTTATGTGTGATAGACTCAACATTTGGATCTTCTTGCATCTCTAAAAATGTACAGATTAGGTCATAAATTTTATATTGGTGAGAATGAACACTTTCATTATTGGTATGCTCACATAAGCTTTCAGACTAATGGCTTTTTTGGTGTCTAAAATGTACGCAAAAAATTTCTATTGAAACATTCCAATTCTTTCATTTAGTGTGAAATAAAATACCTAATAGGCCAGTGGGGTGGATTTGAGAGAACTTATGACAACTCTGCTGACTCAGGTCTTCAGAGCTGATAGAGACACGCAGACCATTTTGATGCATGGGATGAAGAACATCTTTGTGTTTGTGTGCAGTACACAGTGCTTGGTGTGTTAACAATGATTCCTTATGCTGCAGGCATAGGTGATGGGTGTGGAGGTAGCTGCTAGCTTTCAGGACCCACACACGGCTCATCAGTGGTTGTCTCTAAGGAGTCACAGGGATACTGCCCACGCCACGTGCCACGTAATATTCAGACCATTCATTCATGGGAGACTGTTTTACCTTTATTTGCTTATATGTTAATACAGTTTTTAAATTGGTAACTTTTATATAGTATGGTAACAACATACATATACACACATGCTTTGGGTCCTTCCATAATACTTTTATATTTGTAAATCAATGTTTTGGAGCAATCCCAAGTTTAAGAGAAATATTTTTGTAAATGTAGTGGTTTTGAAAATCAGAGCAATTCTTTTGCTTATACATTTTTAAAGCATTTGTGCTTTAAATTGTGATGCTGGTGTTTGAAATATGATATTCCCATAGTGCAGATGAGAAGTATGGAGCAGTAGAGTGAATCTGTGATTTCTCTCGCCGTAACCCAGTGCGGCAGGTTTAGAGCACTCATGGAAATCCAGAGCGAATTCTCTAGGGTTGCACCAGGTTTACCCTAAAGCTCGTTGCCTTTTTTTGTGCTGTTTATCCGTTTAGAGTATAATGGTAAATTTTAAAAAAAGTTAAAGGAAGATTTTATTAAGAATCTGAATGTTTATTCATTATATTGTTACAATTTAATATTTATTTGTGGTATCTGTGATTTTGTTAATCTGTATAAAAATTGTAAGTAGAAAGGTTTATATTTCATCTTAATTCTTTTGATGTTGTAAACGTACTTTTTAAAAGATGGATTATTTGAATGTTATGGCACCTGACTTGTAAAAAAAAAAAAAAACTACAAAAAATTAGAATCATTAAATTGTGTCCCTGTGTTACCAAAATAAAAAAAAATCATACTCAATGGGAAAAGAATTTCTGTTAAAAATCCTAGAACAAGACAAGGATGTCTGCTTTAACTGCTGTTATTCAAAATAGTAATATTTCATCTTAATTCTTTTGATGTTGTAAACGTACTTTTTAAAAGATGGATTATTTGAATGTTATGGCACCTGACTTGTAAAAAAAAAAAAAAACTACAAAAAATTAGAATCATTAAATTGTGTCCCTGTGTTACCAAAATAAAAAAAATCATACTCAATGGGAAAAGAATTTCTGTTAAAAATCCTAGAACAAGACAAGGATGTCTGCTTTAACTGCTGTTATTCAAAATAGTACTGGAAGTTTTAGCCACAGGTATCAAACAAGAAGGAAAAAAAGGCATCCAAATCTGAAAGGAGGAAATAAAATTTTTATTATTCTGAGATGACATGATATTGTACATAGAAAACCCTAAAGACCCCACTGAAGTCCTCCTAGATTTAGTAAAGGTATTTGGTAAAATTGTGGAATACAAAAACAATATTCAGAAATTGATGGCACTTGTATACACCAATAATGAGCTATTTGAAAAGGATAAAAAAAGAAAGCATCCCCATTTACTATTACAACAAAAAATAAAGTACCTATGAATAAATTTAACCAAGGAGGTAAAAGATCTGTACCTGGAGAATTACAGGACATTGAAGAAAGAAATTAAGAGAGCTACCAATAAGTGGAAGCAAATACCATGTTCATGGATTGGAAGAAGTAACCTCATTAACATGCCCATGCTACCTAAAGAAATCTATAGATCCAATGCAACTCCCATTAAAATACCATTGATATATTTCACAGGTCTAAAACAAATATTCCAAAAATTTATATGGAACCAAAAAAGACCCTGAATAGCCCCAGCAATCTTGAAAAAGAACAAAGATAGGGTATCACAATACCAGATAGCAAACTATACTATAAGGCCATTATAAACAAAACAACCTGTTACTGGCATAAGAACAGCATATAGATCAACGGAACAGAACAGAGACCTCAGAAATCAACCCACACCATTATGCTTAGTTAATATTTGACAAGGGAAGCAAGAGCATACAATGGAGTAGAGACAGTCTCTTCAATAAATGATGTTGGGACAGGTACATGTAAAAAATAAAACTAGCCATGGCTGGTGTGTCTCGGTGGTTCGAGCCTCGGCCTGAGAACCAAAGGTCACAGGTTAGACTCTCAGTCAAGGACACTGACCTGGGTTTCAGGTTCAATCCCTGACCCTGGTCAGAGCATGAGTATGAGGCAACCAATTGATGTGTCTCACATTGATATTTCTATCTCTTCTCTTCTCTTCTCTTCTCTTCTCTTCTCTTCTCTTCTCTTCTCTTCTCTTCTCCTCTCCTCTCCTCTCCTCTCCTCTTCTCTTCTCTCTCTCTCTCTCTCTCTCTCTCTCTCTCCATCCTCTTCCCTCCCTTCCACTTTATCTAAAAAAACAATGGAAAAATATTCTCAGATGAGGATTAAAAAAGAAAATAAAACTAGACTACCAGCTACACCATACAGAAAAATAAACTCAAAATGGATAAAAACTTTCAATGTAAATTGAAAACCCATAAAATTCCTAGAAGAAAAAATAGGCAGCAAAATCTCAAACACCTCTGTCAGCAAGAAATATGTTTTCAGATATGTCTCCAAGGGCAAGGGAAACTCAGGAAAAGATAAAGAAATAGGAC